GTCATGTATCCGCTTGGAATGGCCGCCGGTCCATTCTGGGTTCTAGTGGCCTTAGTTTGCCCACTAGAGTGTGCACATGGTGTCCGGCATTTTTATGCTGGCAGATGAGGCAACGGTTATGAGGCAACAGTTACCGGTATCATGCTATGTTTAGTTCAGTTCATGTATATGCCAGGATCATGTTATTGTAATTATTTTCACTGTTTACTTTAGTATGAGTTTCTGCGGAGTACAGTGTTTATAGTACTCACGCTCCCACTATTATCATGTTTCTCAGGTCATGAAGTCGGAGCGGAGGAGTGAGATGACGAAGCTGTTTGGGACATGGCTAGTGGCCATTGTACATTATTGTACAGTTATGTTTTGCCACGCATAACTTCCGCTGTCACTTTATGATATTTCAACTAGCATGTCAGTTTTATTTGTAAACTGATTTATCAGATAGATTTTCTTTATAAAGTATTACATGCTAGTTGATCTAAAATAATCCATTTATTTTTCAAAGTTAAATTTAAATAAAGGTAACGGATTTCCCAAGCAATGAATGATTTTTAGTAGCACCCCGAAAAGGATTTCGCAAATGAACATGTTTTATTAAGAAAATAATTTGCGAAAAGCGCGCTCTGATTTTTATGGAAAGGCGGGGTGTTACAGTTGGTATCAGAGCACATTTTTGTGTATCTGAATACTTTATTAAGTCAGAAAGTTTAGAAAATCCCGAACACGTCATACTCATGCCTCGCCGACTACCAGGTAAGTGCTGATTAAGTTTTAAATTATAAACAATTTACTATTTCTATGCTCAGAAATTTCTCAGTTATGATACAGTTAAGATGCTCGAATCATGTTTATGATCAGTAGTCAGTATACTCGGGATTTTATGTTATTATTCCCAGTCATGTTTAACGACTCATCAAGAAATTTGTGTTCTTTATTGATCAGCTTCAATAAAGTCATTAGTAAGGATATTCGAGTCTGATTTCAGAACTCTAGAAAGGGGCTAGGATTGAGAACCCTAGATTCCATTCTAGACTTATTCAGATTAAGTTAATGCCTCGTTCAGTGATTTGTTAACAATTATGTTACACAATCTTAGCAATCAAGTTCCTCAGGCATTTTCTATTGAAAGTTTCCCAGTTGCCAATTAGTTGGCACATTTCAAAGAAGAATTCCTTGAGTTAGACCAGGGAATAAGTTTAATTTTCCTAAGTCAAGTCAGTAAATCAAGTTTAAGGCAAGATTTTCATGCTAAAGGTTGTTAAAATTTTCAAGTTATTATTAAAGTAACGGTTTCCAGTGTATAAGAGTCAATAAGTCCGGGTTACCATGGAGGCTTGAAATAAGAGCCATTAAGCCAGGTATACCATGGAGGCTTGAAGCTGAGACCGGAGCAGTACAGTTTCAGAAAGTAACAACCTTTAGAGTCTGCTAAATCGGTTATCTTACCAGTTAGATACACTGAGTTTAGTTGACAAAGTTCAGGATCAGTTATTTATTCAGTACTTGCGGGACCAGTTGATACTGGAACAGCCCTATATAGTACATAGTCAGAAGTTAATGTTCATAAGTTAAGGTCGGCGTATAATAGTTACTGAGCCGGGTTAAAATGGAGGTTTGTGATACAGACCATTAGTCCAAATTTACTTGGAAATTTGAAGTCGCACCTTATCAAGTCAAGTAAGTTAGTAAATGTCAAGTTCCAAATTCCAAGGTGACTATTTAGTTGTCTCGGTATAGCTTTCAGAGTTCAGATAAAAAAATGATTCAGTAATGTAAAAGTCAAGTCCTGGATATTCAGTTATGTGAATGCTCAGGCCAGCTATGTTAAGTCAAGGATGGTCTGTCTAATAAGACAAGACTTATCAGTCATTCCAAGTATGTCTTATGCCTCGATTCTCAAATGCAGATGATTTGAGAACTCGTAGGAAAGATCAGTTTTTGATAAACTTTTCTTGAGGTTATGTTTGACCTCAGGGAAGGTAAACAGTTGCAGGTACAACCTGTCGATATAAGACACGGCGGAGAAGACCAATCAACAGCAACAGATCATGCCATGATGACAACCGAGCTTTCCATTCAAAGATGCATGACGTCAGAAGAGAAGGATGCCATGTTGAGTCATAGTACACTGGGAAATCACGGAGAGTTAGCATATTAGTACATTGAGGTTACTAGCCGAGTTACAGATATGATCAGTTATACAGACTACATCGACGTCGCAGGTACAATGTTCGCTAGGTGCTGTATACAGGTGTGCCGCACTCACTTGATGAGTAGCGGGTATGCCGCATTACAATGTGCCGCGAACGATGTGCCGCGTGTCGAGTAGATGTTCCCGAAAGGTAGTTGCCAGGATTGCTAGTTATCCTCATTTGTACATGTGCATATCTCTAAAAATTTTCCAGGAGTACTAATGACTGGGAGTTACCACAACCGACGTTCAGACCAAGGAGCAACAATCAGCCAGGAGATGAAGACCAATACGTTTAAAAATTATATATTTGATGTGAAGTATAATAAATGGAACACTTTATCTTATAAAAGTGTCCCGTTTCAGTCGGTGTTAATCATCAACTCACTTAATTGTGAATTGTTGATTTCTCAGTTAAGAACAAGTCTAATGTTCAGTATTTGATACTGAATTTTCAAGTCATGACAGCGATGAGTATAAGCTTCATGTTAAGCTTGTACATTTCAGTTTTAGTATTTCCGAGGACGGAAATATTTTAAGGAGGGTGGGTTGTTATACCCCGAGTTTTATTAATAAAGGAATTACTAGCTTTTAATTTTAAAGCTAGCCTTTGTTAATAAATAATCATGTTCATGTTTAAGTTTAAGTTATTCAGTTAGTTAAATTCCATGTTCGACTATTAGTCGATAAGTTTTTAGATTTAATTCCGATTCATTTAATTGGTTAATGAGTTCAGAATTAAAAAGCCAAGTTGACGAACTATTTGAAATATTAATGTTCGGATTAATCGTCTAAGTCAAGAATATTCGAATTAAGTTCCGAGGTCAAGTTATAACCGAAAATGAGTACGTTCGGTTAAGGTTACCATATATGAACGTCGTCATTCCTATACAGCGACGCGTTCACATTGGTACATCCTCCATCATTAATTAAGTAATGGTCATTAGCCCTTGCTTCATTAACTTAATCCATGTTTAGCTAATTAATCGTAATTAGCTTAAAGATAAGCATGATTAGCTTAATGTTAATTAAGATTAAATTAACATTAATGAGGATTAGTTTAAGGTTAATCATGTTTAAAGTAATCATGTTTAGCTTAGCATCAAGCATGCTTAGCACGACCATTACCGCACATAAGCGCGCCCTTAGCACGTTCTTAACGCCTAAGCCGTGCTTATGGTAAGCCAATGACCGAGGGTCAAGTTTTCCCCCACATTTCATATTTGGAGGCTGGAGAAAGCCTTAGAGCATGACTAAGCAAAACTCTTGGTGAGTAAGCACACCAAAGTGCCACCTAGTGCCTTATGTGCACGGCACTTGGTGCACGGCACTTGGTGCACGGCCATTGGCCGAGCTTTCCTTCAAAAATCCATCACGTTTTTAGTCTTTATAAGTCAGCATTTTATGGTGAAAATAGGGCTGATTAGCAAAGCCATATACTCAGCAAGTAATAAGCCTAACATTAGCCCTAATCACACACGCACGCGTATAGGCTCGGAGACGAGAAATTATGCCCGTTCATGGGAAATTCTCTGAGCAATTGAGAAGGTAACTTCATGTTCAATATCCTTTTATGTTAGTGAGATCATGTTCAAGTCAGTTTATGCAGCTCATGTCCAGAAATTCATGTAATTATCAAGTTATGCTCGGTTTAAGTCATTTGAGGTCATGACCGAGTAAGTTCATGTTTTACCCGGCAACTCCTGTGCAATTCATGTTTATTTTATCATGTTATGTCCTTATAAGTTCAGTATAAAAAGATAGGTCGAGATAAGTTGTGGTTTTGCCCATGATTTGACCTAAAGAAGCGAGCTGCGCATGTAGCGCACGCGCACGAGGCTAGTTCATGCACTATCATGTTACTTTGCAATGTAATCATGTTTGTTCGAGTAAGTCAGGTATAGTTGATCATTATTTATTATTTAATGATCATTCAAGCTTTGATGGTCGAGGGAAGTTGAAGTTTGGCCGAGGATTGGCCTTAAGCCGATGGTAGCGCCCGTAGCGCACACCACGGCACTTTATCGAACAAAATGCATGATTCTTGAGTAGGAGCGCCCGTAGCGCACACCACGGCACTTTATCGAACAAAATGCATGATTCTTGAGTAGGTTCAGCATATATAATCAAGTTAGGTCAGTTCATGTTGATTCATGTTGAAGTTGCCGGAAGAAGTCGCCAAACGGCCGGCAAGGGCCGGTCGTGGCCACGCTGCCCGCACACAGCGGCAGCAGCGGGCTGGCAGCATGATGAAGGACCGCTGATCGGTGTTGTTATTTATACGTTGGGTGTGAACAAACGGCGCACTTAGGGCCTTCGTTTATCCACGATAGGTGTATCTAACAGACGCACTACGGCCTTCTCCTAGATACCGTGACTTCAAGACGCTCTAATGGCCTTCTCTCCGACACTGTATGTAAACACGCACTGACGGCCTTGTTTATCACACGTTAGAACATAAAGTTCCCCTCAAAATTGACTCACCAATTCAATACTCCATTCAAGACATTCAAGACATAAAATATGATGAGGTACATGGGGGTATTTATAGTTGCAAAATAAATCTAAGCCTAAGAGATCTAGATCTCCTAATCTAGGCAACAATATAAAT